CCCCCCCCCCCCCCCCCCCCCCTCCCTTTCTCCCCTACCTCCCCCTCTCCCATCGTCTAATATCCCACCCAATTTTTTTCTGGGCCTGTGTGAAACCTTTGAAATAGTATTTTAAGAAAGGGCTCACATCGAACTAGGGAAAGCAGGGAATGAACAAAGAAAACCTTCTCTGGGAACCTTCCCTACTTGTTATGGTTTCCTTCTGACGGAGAGTGAAAGAAATGGGAAGATGATCCTCCATGTTCCGATGGTCCCTCTCAGACTGGAGAATGGATTGCCTTTCCAACGGAATAGCGGTTTGTCAAACCCTAATTCCTTCCTGTACCCAATGATCACCCACGCAAAGAATTTTCAGTTGAAAATGTGTCTAACATACTAAAGTACACATATGGTTCAGTAAATTTGCTCAGCACAATGGCTGGCTCTCATTCGGAAGTGTGGGCGTGGCCAATGGCCATATTGGGAGGAGCTGTCACCTATCACCTGTCCTCATTTGGCCTGCTAATCCGTTTTGGTGAATCGACGTCTTAACCACCATAGCTCTACCAGATCATCAGCACACCAGCTGATTGCTTTGGTCATTAACAGTTTTTCATCCTTGTCAACCATTGGGTGGGTGGCTCGTTGGTGGTCATTTCTCCCGTTGAGCTGTCCTGGGTGGGCTCAGCTGTTCTCGGAGATCTTTGCTGTTTGATCGTATTGTTCGTCTTGGAATCGTTTGTGGACGTTATTTGCTTGATTGTCGCGTCTGGATTCCTCCCTCTCTTCAAATTTGACAGCTAACCGAGCGCCTCTGTTCGTAACGGCGTCGTCGAATTGAGCTGACGCGAGGACGAGAAAACGTATTGTCGTATCGGCTACGGTATGCGAGCATCCTCAAAAATGCGACTATTTATCGACAAACATTGCCTCCTCAACTAAACATCGCCTTATTTAGAACGTTCTCGAAGGAAACCCGTCTTGAAAATGCAGCCCATTTCATTTCAATCAATATTTACCTCACCAATTCTCCTCATTCTTTCATGTCACTCTTTCAAAAACCACAAGTTCTCAACTACTCTTCTGAAATGTGCCATGTATCTGAATTCCATTTGAATTTGCTTGACCTGTGGAAAGCTTCAATGAGTCAATTATCGACGTCCAAAAACTATGGGAAGTTCAAGTTGATAAATATTCTCGGACCCCAAATCTCGTGCCAATTAGGCCTTGGCGAGAATGACGTCGATAGTTCGGCTGGGAAACTGAACCGGCGACGGCTCCAACCAGCTTCCTACACATCTTCTTAGCGCTACCCTATAGGGCCAGTTTTTATAGGCCAAAAGGAAAAGCAAAAAAAAAACTTGAAGATGAGCTAACTTCAGGGAATCCTGAGGAGCATACCGTATTCCTATTTCATCCCCTACAGTAGGCAAGACCTCAGTGAGAGTTCAATTCATGTTTCATCTTCATTGATGTTACCGTAATTTCATCGTTCGCGAGCGCATCCTGGCGGCTCTTCGCACTCTCCTCGCACCGCCCATCCTCGGCTGTGATTGGTTGTCGCAACGTGGTGGGCGTGGCGACGACAAGCTGTTCATCCCTCAAGCATCCTCGCCGCTTAAGGTATCACCGCTCCGCTCTTCCTACGGTAGCAGCAGTAGCAGCAAGCAGTAACAACTATGAGTATCGATGGTGAATTTCTACGAAATGTCGAAGTGAAGACCGATGAGATGTTTGGTAATTCACTGAATGCCCTTTCAATCATTCGCTCAGGAAAACTCATCGGAGTCATCGATAAGGTAAGCTAAAAGTCCATTACTAAGTAACTTAGCTCGAGTTGTAATCGATTTGGACAATTCTCCAAGTTTTTGTAGGAAGCTACAAATGATCCCAACGCTTTGCTCATACTGAATCTCATCAAAGAGGCCGATGATAGAAATCAAGCGAATATTACTCTCAGACAAATTGACAACAGGGTAGGTGAAATCTGCCTTAGCCTCAGTTCGGACGACTTTTTACCAGTATTTATTTAGACATATCTTCAAACATCGCGAGATATCGCTACTGGAGAACGTCTTCTTATGCAACGTTACACAGGTAGTATAACAGAAGATGAAGAAGAGGAAGAAGAAGAAGAACGAGAACGAGAAGAGGAAGAAGAAGGGGAGGAAGAGGCGGTAAAACAGGAACGGTGAGTGGTGTCGTTTAGTTTGACAAATTCGTACGAGCCTTTCACACTCTCTGCATGTCTGCCCCGTAACCGCCACCCAGCAGTGTACCGACTCTGCAGACCCCGTCGCCATCGCCGTCGTCGTCGTCGTCGCCGTTGTCGTCGTCGTTGTCCGCAGTGTTCGGACAGCCGGCGCACTCCGGTTGAACGTTGACGACCGACCGCCTGCAGTTGTTATCTCATTGACTAACTGTGTTCGCATTTTCAACGACTGCTCTACTGACCTCAATTACGACATTAGGAAAGCGAAATCATAGTAGTCACACATACATACGACACAAAGCCGTCCATCAACACCTCGCATCACCAGCTCTTCTCCATCAGATTCTTCTCCTTCAACTTTGAACTGTTTTTCAGACTCTGTGATGAGCCCCCAAGTGTTCTGAAAGTCGACACTGAACCACGTGAACACGGAGAACTCGAGCCCGGACAGCTAGTTCCAGAGGGCCAAGCCCATAAGTGTGCATTGTGCCCGAAGAGTTTCTCAAGTGCCAGGTGAGTATCTCTCTCTCATCATCATCTTCGTTTACTCAGACGCATAAGAGCAGCAGAATAAGTACCAGCTGTCCGCTTCGGGGATGTAGGGATAGGGAGGATACGGTAATGTGAAAGGGATACTGAGCTGAGGAGTGTCCTCAGGTGTGCCTGGATGCATTAGCTGGTGTGTGCGTGTGTCTATTTGCTCAACGCCGCCATCTCCTCCACTGTAACGCATCTCCTTCTGGTTCTATCTTGATCTGGCATTTGGGGAAACTTGTCTTTGATCTGAGTTTTCCCTGAATTTCCCTTTTTCAGTGGTCTCAAGCAACATTCACATATTCACTGTAGCTCAAAGCCATTCCGTTGTCATATCTGTAACAAAGCCTATACACAATTTTCAAATCTTTGTCGGCATCGTCGAATTCACCTGGTCAGTTGTTTTTCCTGTGTTGTTTTGTGAATTACTGAATTCACAGTTTAAATTAATTCCATGAATATTCAGGATGGATGGCAGTGTCCCATCTGCCATCAATCATTACCGTCACATAGTGCTCTTCTAAAACATCGAACACTTTGTGAAATGGCATCGGCTTTGTATAAACCATTAATTCCTCATCTACCTATACCCACTCTATCGAATCATATGATTCCAAGCTATTGGCCACATCTTCTTCATATCGCCACTCAGGTAGGTACCTATCCGTTCCGCGATTCGGCCATTGTCAATAGGTCTTCCCAGAAATTTCCATTCAGATGCATTCCGTTCCTATGGGGATGTACGGGCAGATGGAAGCGTACAAGATGCTGAATGCAAGTTCAGACATTGAAAGCTCTCCGCAATCAAGGTGAGACCTAACGACATCTTGGGATTACTCCAATTTGTTCCCCAAGAAAGGCGTAGAGGGCCTTCATGGCCATAATGGGCCGGGTAGAGTAAGGGAGAGTAATCCACTCCACGGGAATACGCTGTACTACCAGTTTCTTTGGAAAGTCAAGATCTGTTTATAGTGCACATTGTTTATGGTTGTTATTGTTTACTTCACCTTAAGTAGTGCACTAGGAACGCCCTTATCCTTCTTTGCAAATAAGTTGAAGGTTAGAACATTGCCATTGTTTTTCAGTGGTCATACGAGTGAGCATTCACCTCATGAACGGAAAGGAAGTCCATGTTCCGAAGCTGAGGCAAGCCCATTGGATCTGACGACGAAGCGAGATGACCGAAAATCGGAATGCGAAAGCAACGATTCGGGTAACGAAGACGAAAATGAACAGTCGTCGTTCACGAAACGAGCTGAATCCACACAACCTTGCCTTACACCGACAATAAATCCGTTCAGGTAAGACCGACTTTCCCTCTGAACTCTGTCAGTATCCTCAAAAGTCGCCATATTTCAGCTCCCCGGCATTCCTATCGTTATTACAACGACCTTTCCCGTATACGACCCCATCATCGTACGCTATCAATCCTCAAGTAACAAAGACGTCCAAGGATCGATACACGTGCAAATTTTGCCAAAAGGTAGCCTAAATGTGTACGATTTTCTCAGGGATTTCGTCCAACTATCCCTCGTTATTTCAGGTATTCCCACGGTCCGCGAATTTGACGCGCCACTTACGAACGCACACTGGAGAGCAGCCGTATAAGGTGAGCTGCTCAGCTCTTATACCTCTGAGTATCATCTGGCACCAATTAATGGCCGATATGACACTCAATACATACCGCTGAAAGGGCTCAAGCCCTGCAGCCCTAATGTTTCTGATTTCGGCTTAATTTCAGTGTCAGTACTGTGAACGATCCTTTTCGATCAGCTCCAACTTACAACGACATGTACGAAATATTCACAACAAGGTATGCAACTGCGAATTCGGACCTAATGTCACCCCTCAAACCGCACTTTTTCCAGGAACGTCCATTTCGTTGTCCACGATGTGATAGATGTTTTGGGCAACAGACGAATCTTGATCGGCATCTGAAAAAGCATGACGCCAGTCCCGATCTCCCTCTTGCCACCATGCTCAAGATTTAGGTAACAAATAATGATAATCATTAATATTTCATGATAAATCTTAATCCCGGTTTATTTCAGATCAAATAGCGATGAAGAAAGGAGACAAAGATACTTGTATATATGTATTTAACAAGGTCATCTTCATGTCATTCAAACGAAAACCTTATAAATGATTTATTTTTGAAGAAAAACAAATTGCTTACACATTAAAAACAACACAACACAACCATCCCATATCATTATGCATATAAACACACGGAGACCAAATTGAAAGTGTTATGAATGAACTATTATACTTCGAGNTGAAGAAAGGAGACAAAGATACTTGTATATATGTATTTAACAAGGTCATCTTCATGTCATTCAAACGAAAACCTTATAAATGATTTATTTTTTCACGAGAAACAAATTGATTACAAATAAAAACAACACAACACAACCATCCCATATCATTATGCATATAAACACACGGAGACCAAATTGAAAGTGTTATGAATGAACTATTATACTTCGAGCGCCCAGTTTTTTCGGTAACAATTAGCTTGGGTGACCTTGTAGCTCAGGAACGAAAAACACCATCCCCACTACAGGAACATATGGCAAGATTCATCATTAATTTTCGAATCTTCCAGTTAGCAATGATTGAGGTGTACGATTTGGGGAGCACCAAAAGACGGGCACCTGTTGTCGTTAATTGGTTCCGGTGAGACAATGCACCTTAGACGAACGGAACGGAAGCGTGCACCTTCTACGGCTCGGGCCGGGCGGGTCGCGTCGGCAGCATCAGTGGGTTGCCTCTCGGCGACAACCAACATCCCAACCCCTTTTGGTACAAACACAACACATGGCTAAGAAGGACTACCCATACCTACCCAACTATAAATAAACAAACCAATATACAGACAAACCATCAAAAAAAAAAAACAAAAAAAATCAGAAAAATCAAAGGGACTCGATTTTACCCAAAGGTTTACTTCGTGGAATGTTTTCGTAGATATCGTAAACAACCTTCTCGACCGTATCCATATCGTAATCGGCATTTACACTCTTCAAAATTTAATTAACTCTTAGAAAATGAATTCTGATGTCAACTTGACCTACCTGCCAGTAGCTTTTTCTCAGATCTTTCATTGCCTGGTAAACTTTACGTTGAAGTATATCGCATTCAAGACGTTCACCACCGTAACCGTTTCTTTGTTTTACTACTGCTGGTGACACTTCGAAAAACAGTACGACATCTGGACGAGGTAGACCAATGTCCGCTTGACGTACCCAATTCGAGTCTAAGCCTAAAGTACAGTTTGCAATGATTCATTGGAACGAAACGATTTTTTTTTTCGGGGATTCACAAAAGGACAGCTGTAACAGCTCAGTACGGAGATTAGGCTGAAAAGGAATAGGAGCTGATTCCAAAGTTATAACTAGTTATCAAAGTGTGTTATCAGACTTGAAACAATTGGTGAAGAACCGTGTATGTTCATACGAAAAAGGTTGAAATGGATCAATGACGTTTTGGGTGTTTCCCGACTTGCAAATGAAGCTTTTTTGGGAGTATTGGTTGGAAAAGAACAATAGGAGGGCGTGCATCAGGAGTGCGCCACGCATTCCACTCTTATCAGATTATGACAGGGCGATCCTTAGACTCGTTCTTGGCTACGCCCGCTACTGGTGCCAAAAGTAACTAAAAGACATGCCACTTCTCCTCATACTCAGAAGAAGGAGCTTATGGACCGATAAAGTAATTATTATGGAATACGGTATTTTAAAATGGGTCACAGGTTCGTTTGTGGGCCTCGCAGAAGAACTTTTTTAGGGTTTTAGATTTGACGTCTCCATTCTCGATCCCCATTTCCGTAGCAACAACCCATCACAAAATGTTTTGACCAAGAACCTCATGATCACTATGCCTATACCCCCTAGCCATGCCGTCTCCAGCACCCGAACTTCCAAAACTGGAAGTCCAACGAGTTCACCTTCGCCATCGTTCTAAGCTAATCTACTGAAAAAAAGCGATGCATAGATTCTAACACAACCGGATGCCTGTGTTATTGGTGGCAGCAACGACGCCATATTCGCCTTTTAACTACCGTATGCCGGTGGTTATGAGGGGGCTCTCGCGCCTCGTCGAGATCCAATTGATGTACCACGCTTCAGCACCTCTTGCCACCACCCAGCCGGACGCCAATTTCCTTACGCAACAGGTCTGTTTACACTCAATTACCAGCCAAGTCGGCGGCCATTTTGATGTGCACTATACATTGTGCATAAGCGGTTGAGCGCGTTCCTAACCGCCCCGGCGACGCCCCTACTGGGTGCAGCCAGTAGAAGTACCCTTGGTTCCGAGCTATTATTATGCTGACCACCAGCCCAAAGCAACACCGCTTACGGACCATCTCATAAATTCACCTTATGAGCACATAGCCGGCATCTGCTACTAATAAATCATCGGCTAAATACTCTTCAAGACCCTCCAAAGCCTAAACAACCTCAGGGGAAGATACCGACGACCTGACAACGTAACATTCCCACAAGAAGCGGTCAGTGTACTGGGAATTTAGCCTAACCATGTACTAGCATTGTGTAGACAATGGGCATCCATGGGCAAGCACGAGAGTTTGACAATGAGAGCGCGCTCGCCCAATCGCTTCCTTCCTTCCGCAATCTTCTCTCCATCAAGCCGAGCGACTAATCGTCCCCTCCACTCTCCTGTCGTACACTTACCTCATCCCTACCAAGCACATCACTGCGCACATCGATTATGAGAACGCCTCAAATGCATTCACTACCGCCAGTGTACATCTTAGCCCAATAGAGCAGCGTCAGGGGGGAACTTGGAGACCATGAAGCCCACGCTACCTACTCAGCTGATGGTAATCCACCTGTCTGGGACTGTGTTTTTACATAACACTGAAATGAACCTATCCTTGTTGAGAAATATATCACGAAGACAGAATCACCTGTCGTCTGCAGAGCTAGGGGGACTGATGAAGAACGTTACCAAAAGCTCGGACTGTATGGAAGGTTGTCAAAGAAGAAGTTGCAGTACTGTATGGTACTGAGAAACTATAAAAAAAGGTCAAGTGAACATGAACAGAGCTCAAGCACACAAAGCAATCTTCAAAAACCTAATAGCAAAGTTTGGAACTAGTCTGTCATATTATAGGACGCGACATGTAATCGGTTTTAAATCAAATCAAATTGTGAAGCCATACAAAGTCCTGGGCTTGTATTTACATTGGTTTTGAAGGACATCTTGAGGGTATCTCAGTTTCTTTCATCCTACAGTTTGACCATTTCAAAAGAGGACCTCAAGAAAACTCAAAAAGATGGAATTTCGTTTGATCCCAGTGGGTTTTGGTGCGGGATTTCATTCCCAAGGACCATGTGTGCACTAGCAGCGAATCTAGAACTGTTCTATCTTCTTCCCCGTCTTTGGTTTTGGATTCAGCGAACTAGAGATAATGTGACCAGAAAAGTTCTTCATAAGGTAAGGACGAGCCTAATTATACCTGTACTCAGAATACGAGACATTTTTAGGTACTGGATGAGTGTATAGTCAGTTGAATTAAGACTAGTACGTTACTTAAAAGTCCAGCTAGTGATCAGATGGGTAAACCCTTCCCGACAGGTTGAACCATAGATCAAAAGTAAAGTTGGAAATATTAAAGGACCGTTCATTCTGACCGTAACATGATCTGCTAATCTCAGCAACAACGATAGCAATGACATCATTCGTCATTTCGTCTCCCCACCATCATCTTTCTGCCATCAAATGGTTAGAATAGAATGCTTTCCTATAGCTGTTATTTCGTCTTTTATATTTCTATTACTAAACTCCTTACCAAGCAATAGAAACATCTTAAATTAGGTTAATTTATCTATTGTCTTTGTCGGTGATGACGTTGCGCCAGAAGGGGTGATTTATGAACCCCATAACTGGAAGTCGTCCCACTCAGTTGAGTTTCTTATATTTTCTATTAGGCACTGCTCAGTTGAGTTTCTTATGTTCTCCGTTAGGTTATGTCATCATCATATGTCATCATTAATCATATGATTGTACCCTGAAATTAGAATTCATCAAAATTGTATTAGAAAAAGCTGGCAAGCGTTCTTGGCTTACACGAATAGTCAGTTCAGAAGTGATCATAAGACGGCGTAAAAGTCGGTATCGCTGTTCTCCAGGAAATCCTTGCTCCAGAAAAACAGATGGCTCGTATGGTATGGATGGCATATGGGGGTTTGGAGATTTGGTGCCTAAGCAATGCGCGTTTATCACTACTGGCCCTCCTCCCCACCCCTCCCTTCCATACCCATCCGTCTCCCCTACTAATCTTTTCAAATTTCGGTTGCGTGGTGAGTCCGCATTTGCAGTAAGAGATAGAAAGGAGGAGTGTTATACCGTAAAAGTGAAGTGAACCAAGATCGAATAGCAATAGTGGCAACTTGGATGACATAAGACGTAATCTTTTGAGATCTTCCCACCTACTTGTGAGTATGCTACGTAGTACCTCGCAATCGTCAAAAGAAACATTCCCTAATGATTTCGGACTGAAAGGAATGCAACAGGAAACTGGCACAGGAAAGAATCTATGAAAGAAAAAGTGAGAGCTGTTGAAATGAAGCGCGAATTCCCCGATATGAGCGGCACATTTACGTGATAGTCACGGAACATTTATCAGCCGCTCATCTCTTAAACCACACCCGATATAAACTCGCAAAGAAATTTCGCTAAGTAAATAATATTGTAAAGAGAAACCCTTGCAAAACAATGAGGGGAGATATTTGAACATATATTTCTTTGTAGAACATGTCGAAAATGAACAAAAATTACATTTCAAACCTTTAGCGATTGAGTATGCTACACCACTGAAACAGTAGCGATCACAAATGACATCCACACCGGCAGCTATCTTCTCTTCAATAAAAGCTGCCTTAAATTTGAACTATTTCTATTATAAAAACCAATACTATCGTTGAAAAGCAGTATTACTTTTTCCCATCGATTTGCCGAAAAAGCCAGATGTAGTGCTCGTTCACAGAGATCGATTTCTTTTCTTAGATAACGATCTATTACCTGGCCAAATGGTTCTTTTCTATCTGTAAATTATGAAACGCTCAACTGTACATTCCATACAATCATTAAATTATCCTCCACCACAACCCATTTCTCATAGAACATACCAGGGAATGGTAGCAGTACAGCTTGACCCCCAGTTGAATTGATTCTTTCAGCTAATCGTTTAGCTTGAGTTGATTTTCCACTTCTGTCGAGTCCTTCGAAAACAATTAAAGCACCACGACGAGACATTACCTAGTAGATTCGTTTACGATAAAGCATTTAATAATAACCGCTTACTTTTATGAAAATATGAAAGTGGGGGTTCAACAATGTTGTTAATGTTAGAACGAAATACAAAATCGAGCAGCACGTTTTATTCAACACATTAATTTCGCTAAATTATCGCTAATCCCTCTCGATTTTCCACTTTCTACCAGTGGTACATAGTCTTCTGTATGGCCCAGTAGCGGTGGCACTTCACCAACCAATTCAGGAACGAATAGGCAAAAATGAAACGGAAGATGGTTTTCACCTAAAAATTAACATTTTGACAAAAGAGATTTTCAAAATGTGCCACTTCTGGCATAATATAAGGGAGAGGAAACTCACGGTATTTGCATATACAGGGCCGGAATAGTATTTGTTATGAACTCTCCAAATGTTTCGCATAAACTCGTTGTATATAGCACCTGGTGTCTTTTCACGTCGAGCAAACCAGGCGGGAAGGTCGGCGAGCTTCACATCGAAAAGTTTGGTGTCCACTAAAAAATTTTCGAGAAAGGCATAGCTTACTCATTGATAAAAATATACGGTACCCTTTTTATTCAACTTTGACACGATATTTAGTGAGAAAAATTCTCAAAAGTGAAAAAAAGTATAAAGCAAAATATGTGAGCGTTTTTCAAGCCGTGCACAAGGTGTTTTTACAGAGTATAAATAGAAAGTTTATTTTTGTTCCCAGCATTATTTTTGAAGTGCATGCCGTTATTACCATTTGCGATTGCTGGCTAATCTTGCTTCCAATGTATTCCTTACACCGAAACCGTATTTCGATCCTTATTTCTAGCTCACAATACTGTTTGTATCCAACCTCACAGATAAAGCGAAGGGAACCAAAATGAACTGAACTAATTAAAAGTAAGGAGTTCGTGAACTATCAACAGAAGAAGAGCGTAGCAAAACTCCAAAAAGCTCACTGAGATACAAAAATTAGTGTAACAATGAGATTAATTTAAAAAGAAATTGCACAGGCGATCTGTATTTCGAAGAGATCGCCTCCCATTTAAAACAGAGTTTAGATAATCATGTTTACTATAGGTAGTGTAAATCTGTATAAGCTCCTTATCAGCAGACTTTCAAATGAATGCCAAAGGACCGCATTTGAAATAAGGTTCCCTGATAAGAATCTTCCCTATCTCCCCCACCGTCGTTAAAAACCCTGATTGTAAATCAAAAACACGAAAAGAAAATAGATGAGAAGGGTTTCCATCAATAACAAGCTTACGTTTTCCGTAATATCGATGATGACAATAAGGACCATGAATGTTCTTGTTCCATCTTTTGTCAAACAGACCGATTTCCGTCTTGTTTAGAACTCTAAGAAATAGATTGGTAAAACAGACAAAAAAAAAAGAAAATGAAAGGTAAAACAAAAAATATAAGAGGAGTGAGAGTTTCGAGCACAGAAATAAGTCTCAATTGCATGCGTTGAAGGGCGGGATTTTGCAAAGGAAGTATAGACAAGTGTATACAATCATAAAAGGGAAAGAATTCAAGAGGTAGTACTACAGCGCTATTCAGGACGACTTATAGATAGGAACAGGCCTGGAAGAGCCGCAATATTTAGCTCAACAGATGTGAGCTCTTGCACGGTCCAAAGAAGATCCAATAGAAATCCCAACGGTTATGAAAAAAATCATAGTTCATCAGTTATTAATCAAAGTTAATGATTACCAAGGAGCCATTCCTCGATGTAACACTAATTTCAAGAACGTAGTATTCAATATAAAACAATGCCAAACAACAAAAAAGGATATAAAATTCTAGAAGAATAAGGTAAGAATTTTAGAAGTACATAAGCAAATGCAGATACCTGTTGTAGAAATACACTCCGAGCCGTTCGAAAGCTCGTGAAATCGGAATAAAGATGAGGTCTGGAACCCACGGTCTGAGTTGTGTTCCTGGAGGAGGAGGGCGGAACCAAGCCATAGTGCTGGAAAAAGCCATACAAATAAATTACAGTCTACTCTGTGAAGTAATTTTACTCAACGCTACATATCACAACCAATGCGGATCGAACTAGTTTAACTGAAGAAAATATGGTGAAAAGGCTTTGCACAAGTTTCTGAAATATTTTTTGGAAGCTTAACGACCCATACAAACCCTAGCCAGATTATATATAAATTGATATTGCTGGCAACAATAAGAAATTCAGTTTTCTCGTGAATAAAGAAAAAAAGACCTTTAAAAGAGAATGTCTAGGCCCATCGAACCAACTTTTTAGTAAAAGAACAAGTTACGAAAAGGAATATAGCCAGGCATCAAAGAACAAGCCTAATTTCGAATAAACATCTACTAACTAACTTAAAAATCAGCGGATATGGATTGGAGAATTGAACAAGAGCGAATACAGGCGGTGCATCTGCGAGAATTCCGCGTGGGAACAGAAAACCGCTTCGCGACCCTTTCGCGAAATTCACATTGGAGCGCGGCAACTATAATGTAGGCTTCGTTTTTAATGAAACCTTATTCTTAAGATTGCGAATCGTGAGGCACAGTCACTTAATCAGCCAAGATCTTACGCTGAAAGACCATCAATTCTGCGTAGTACCACAATTGTACGTTTACTCCTTAGTGAAACTTTAATTTTTCAAAAAAAAAAAATCAGCCAGGGGTAAAGAGAATGGATGGAAAATATTGAGGCTTAGCAGACGAACGTCCCGAAGAACATACGGAGCAGAATTCCAATCATAGGTTTGTATGAGCGCGAGTGTTCGAGCCGGAAAGCTTTCACACACTGAGGCTTCCGAGTATGCTGCTCAGACACGAAAAAAAATGTAGCCTTTAAAAATGTACGTAGAAAAGCAACGGAAATTAATAGGAAAGAACCTTTTACTATTTATTCTGATTCTGATGATAAAGCTATATACATTTGTATGACTGCGTAACTGCACATATCACACCTGATTCAGGGCAACAACTAGCTATGAGTAACAAGAAAGAAAGTTAAAATTGTAGCCAAAAAACAACAAAATAAGAAAAGGTAGGTAATCTACAGTCTAGTCGTGTAAACAGAATACAGCCAAACGATTGAAGAAAAACAGTGTAAACGAAAACGTCATGGGTAAAACATACCAAGCTAACCGTAAGCAACAGAACTGCAACTATGAAAGGAAGATATGTGGAATCCTAACGGACGTGCCGCTAATGATCCCATTGAGGTAGTCTAACTCAAAATATACAACCATCAACTTCACTGGAAGTCTATGAATTCAACGGGGATTTCTTGAAATCATTGAAATCGTTGAAGGTTGTTGTCGGTGCGTCACTTGTTGTTGAAGCAAAAAATGGAGCGCTGGAAGCCTAAAAAAGAGGTGCTGAAACAAAGATAAAACCATAGCACAGCAACCGTTAACACTGATTTGGAAACAAGCCTTACCCCCAACCGAAGAGCCTCCTCGGAGTTCTGAAGGAGGAGCTGTCTAGTATCAACGTGGCTCAGCCGAGATATGATTTCGTCTGATTCTTTGAAGCTTATTCCAGCATCACGTGAGCATTGAAAAAGATGAGCTCCTTTATGTACAGGCAGTTGCTGTTCCCATATTCGTTCACCAATTACTTCGATAGCAGGAAGAAAGTGCTTAGGATAATAGTGCTTCATAGAGGACAGAAATAATGCAGGTAACAAGGTGCCCTGGCGCAAAACTGTAGAATGAACCTGAAATGGTGTAGGGGGAACTATGTACCTAATTAGGCAGTAAAACGAACAATCAATAAGCAAACCTCTTCCCAGTTATCTGGAATCACGTAACCCTCTACAGATTGAAGTTTCTTCGCAAAAAGTTCCCCATGTTGCAGTAAGGGAATGGTCGTTTCTTCTTTTTGTTGTTTTCGTTCCCCTTCAAAAGAATGTTGTTTCGCGGAGAAGTAGATTAGTATAGTTGCTATCGAACTCACATCTTCGCTTCATTCGTGCCTCATAAGTACGAACTAGATGGAGTTTGACATCAGCAATTGGGACAAGTTCAATATCATCCATGAGTTTAGACATCTGACCATTGTTAAGAACCTGAAAAACGCCATATAAGGACAACTTATGAATTGAAAAGCTGGTTCACTAGACCAGAACATCGAAATGGTTCAAGGAAAGGGGCCTGCGGTTTATAGGTACTTCGGCGTGGCAACGCTTTTCA